AAAACAAATGCAAACAAACAAACAAAAAACAACAACAACCTGCCTCCTTTACATTTATACAGACTCTATACAGAGAAGGAAGTCCAAGATTACAGCAACTCCAGGTCATCAATGTTAGACTTTTTCTGTGTTTGTTTATTCTTTCATAGAAAGTAGCTCATGTCCAAAACTCATTTTGAGTAGTAGATCTCCTACCCAATTTAGAGACAGAAAAATGGAATCATTGAGAAGGTATTTTATTTGGCAACAGTAGTCAGTGAAAGAGACAAGATATGACACAATTGTCTAGCTAGTGGAATAAAAACAGAGAGCTACAGGTCTATGTATTTCTATCAAATTCAAGTTAGGAATTTTTCTTATGGCTATAATTTAGTCTATAACTTGTCCCTCAAATATCATCGCCCTACAATTATATTAATAAATCATCTCTAACCCTTTACAAGCTCTCTGACACTTCCTTTCGTTGTACATTAATTATTGGGTACTTGACACATTCTTAGTCTGCTTTGGATCCTGTCAATATTTGCAGTCAAAAAACCCATTTAGGTTCTTGGTTTCTTAAGTGATGTCTTAAAGATGAAAAAGCATCAAGTCAGTGAGTCCAAAGTTCATTTTTCAATGTGCCTTTTCATTGATAACTATGCTGGAATTATCCATTTGTGTGCTCTTTTCTAAGGCCATTTTCAAAGTGTAAGTGTGCAATGTTGGAACAAGTTTCAGAATTTTAGAGTGGTTAGAGCTTTGGTCAAGTGAAAAGAGCTCTTTAGAAAAGGGTGTGATGGAGTCAAAAGCCCGCCCCTTTTGTTTAGAATCCTGGATTTTCCTCGAACTGTTTGCGTGACCTTGAGCAAATCATCTCATCTCTTAGAGGCTCCGTTTCTTCTTCATCAGTAAAATGAAGACCATCCAAACATCAGAAGTTTATTGGGAAGATGGAGGAGTTGTGATGACCAGGCTCAATATTGCAGTTTGGGGGTGAATAAGGTAGTTTGTGGTAGATGGGTGTCGGGGAGTAGTTATTGTCCCATAACCTTACCACCTGATTAAGATGAAAGCTAGTCTCAAACCCAACTCTGCCACAACACAGACCTTTGTTAAAGACACAGCATCCATTAGCTGTGCATACAGTCTGGCTGAGAGCTGGATGGAGCCTCAGCCCTTGTACCTTTAAGTGCTCCAGATGATTGCCACCTTGCAGAAAAGGATCACGTGAGGCTGGTGGGGATTCTGTTGCCCTTACTTGGCAGCAGCCAGCTGGAAATCCTCCTTATCAATGGCTGGACACAAGCCTATTTGGGGGATTAGTCTGCTGATGTAAGCTACAGGCTTCAGATTCTTACACTCTGTTCAGCAGGGTGGGGATTGCTTCCAAAACAGTTTAGCCAATCTTTGTATCTTAACCTCTAATTTTATAAATAAAATCAATTTCTAATGCTCACTCTATTATTTCACCTGTCTTTTTACATTCCTCCCCGCCCCCCCCCCCCCAAGCAATGAGGCCTCAGGTGGTGGTGAAGATATAGCTAACAGAATACTTGACAGAGCAATCCTGGGAATGTGGTCTTGGTGATATTTTACCACCTAACCACCCCAGAAGGATGAACTCCCAATTAGAGAAATAGATATTCCTAGTGTTGCAGTTTAAACCAAAGTGCACACATAAAGGGTGTCCCCCCAAATGTATACACGTACTTTGGTTAATTAAAAGGCAGTATTTTTAAAAATATATTTCACTTTCAAAATGGAGCTATCAGCTGTTAAAGTGTGTATACATTTTTGGGACACCATGTATAAAATAGCATACTCTCTATAATAAAGTAGTTTAAAATAAATTTCAGACAACTTAACAATAGGCAGAGCAAATATTTTAAGTATATGTTAATACTCACCCACTTAGAGATGATCTATTTCAGTGGTCAGGAAACTCAGTCAACAGAGCCAAATATCAACAGTATAACAACTGAAATTTCTTTTGAGAGCCAAATTCTTATTTTAAAAAATATATATATTTTATTGATTTTTTACAGAGGAAGGGAGGGAGAGAGAGTTAGAAACATTGATGAGAGTCATCAATCAGCTGCCTCTTGCACGTCCCCTACTGGGGATGTGCCTGCAACCAACGTACTTGCCCTTGACCGGAATGGAACCTGGGACCCTTCAGTCCGCAGGCGGATGCTCTATCTACTGAGCCAGACCAGTTTTGGTTGAGAGTCAATTTTTTTAAACTTAAACTTCTTCTAATGCCTCTTCTTCAAAATAGACTCGCCCAGGCCGTTGTATTTTGTGGAAGAGCCACACTCAAGCGGTCAAAGAGCCGCATGTGGCTTGCGAGTCCCGGTTTGCCGATCACTGATCTATTTCAATGGCTGTTAGATTGGCTCCACAAGTTCTGAGGAACTGCTCATGGCCCCGAGCTTGGGGGAAGCAGATGGGGTTCTGGGCTCCCTACCACCTCAGTCACAGCAGTTCCACCTCAACCTAGTTTGCATTTTAGATGTTTTCACAACACTTTACTTAAGGAAGGGTTCCATGCCAAAGGTTTGAAAACCACTGATGAAGCCTAACATTCATATTACAAATGGGGAAGATAAGTACCAGAGCAGTTGTCACTTTTTCAAGTACAGATTACCTGTAGCAACTCTTAGCATTGGGCCCTTTTCACCACCATAAGCCACCTATGTACTGCCAGGGCTGACTAGCAGACCCAGAGCAACGGATGAATCCATTATTCTGACACAGGTTTCTGTGAAAGAGAGGCTAAGGGGCTTGTTTGGCTTTAGAAACCAAAAACAGCCCCGATTGCCTGCCTTCTTTGGCTTTTATTGTAACAATAGCTTGAACTAAAATTAACTATTAGATACAATCAGCAGGGTAAGCATCCTTGAGAAAGCAAATGCTTTTACAAGGTCAAACAAAACAAAACAAAACAAAAAAAAACCCCAAAACAAAGACTCAACATAGAGATCCTAGCAAAACACCCTGGGGATCAGACTTGTTTGGAAAAGCCAAGGTAGGGGGTGCCATCTTCGGCAAGGTCCCCTAAAAGACCCCCGATCCTTAGGAGAATCCTCCTTACAGACTTTCCAACCAAGTTCAGTGCTTCCCTACAATGCACCAGGGAGAGTTCACATGTACGGCTAAAATTAATCTGTGCGCAAGTAAAGGTGGTATTCCCAGAGCATGTCCTTTACCGATACACTGTCTTGGATGACGTTTACATGTTCCTTTACTAAAAACTGCAACCTACTGTAGAACATACACACATGATTAAACGGGTTAGTTCAGCAATCAAACCCTTCAGAAACAGTGTTAACTTGAATTCATCATTGGGAAGATGTCCTTCGAAGAAACTTAATAAATGGGTCATGGTAGTAATGATCTAATCCGTTAAGCTTCCAAATAGTTCCTATCTGGACTTGACCTCTTTCACCCAAACTGACTGTAGTAATGGAAATAGTTTTTGCTTCAATAGAGATCATCTTCCTGGGTCTTATACATTGTTTTGATCTTATTTCAGGACCCTAATGATATATTATCCAATCTGTGACATGCAATTATAAAATACTATTATTTTATGTCTTGCTAAGAAATAAAACATGTAAATTAAAATTTTACGATACCATTGCTGCAAAGACACATTCTGATTTCAGAGATATTAAAAGAGGTGCATCTCGCCCTCATAAGGCAACAAGTGCTTTATCTTAAGTGGAAAAAATATGTTCTACCTTCAGAAAAGCTTTAATGGTTCTTTTATGTGAGTGACAGTCCTGGTTGAAGTGGTTTGCATTAAACATTCTTGCCTTTTGATATCAGATGAAAGAGGGACAAAATTCAAATTTACATATTCTCTTCACCAAGTTCAAATTACTTTGTCAGTATATTCCTAGCATAATGTTCAGCATAACTCATGTTTACTAAAATGTATTTTTTGTTAACTGCAGCTGGAGATTAGTATGTTATTTTTAAAAAAGTATATATTTTATTGATTTTTTTACAGAGAAGAAGAGAGAGGCATAGAGAGTTAGAAACATCAATGAGAGAGAATCATCAACCAGCTGCCTCTTGCACACCCCCTACTAGGGATGTGCCCGAAACCAAGGTACATGCCCTTGACCGGAATCTAACCTGGGACCTTTCAGTCTGCAGGCTGATGCTCTATCCACTGAACCAAACTGGTTTTGGCTAGTAAGTTATTTTAACGAAGGACAAGACTCTGTGAACTGTGAGCCAATAAATGTGACTTTCTAGCACACTTTTTATACAATGGTGTGTTGGGAAGAAGGTAAAAAAAATGCCAACTATAGAAACTTAAAAAGGTGCTGGGCCCAGCCAGTGTGGCTCAGTGGTGGAGCATCAACCTATGAAACAGGAGGTCATGGCTTGATTCCCAGTCAGGGCACAGACCTGGGTTGTGAGCTCAATCCCCAGTGTAGTGCGCACAGAAGGTGGCCAATCACTGACTCTTTCATATCATTGATGCTTCTATCTCCCTCTTCTTTCCTCTCTGAAATCAATAAAAATATATATTTTTAAAAAGTGCTGGAACAGCCCTAGGACATTATGGAAAGGAGGAGGCAGTTGAAGAGGTGCAATTGCCCCCCTCCCATGTTAAATCTGAAGGAAACTGAAGGAGGGCGAAGGTGTGGGATGGTTTCTGTGGATGTTATTTCCTCCTTTCCTATCATTATGTCCTCCTTCCTTATCCCTGAGAGAGAAAAATATTAAGCACCACAGGAGGGCAACAGCCAGAACAAACTGTCTTCAAATTCTCCTATTGAATTGGACCGAAGGATGAATACCAGAAATTTGTGATAAATAGAAGTCAAATTTGCCTTTGCATATTTCTGTGCTGTCATTACCACAATTTTCTTGAGGAAGAAAGCTTTAAAGATGTACTTTGCAGATGGATTTTTTTCTCTCTCACAAACAATTACTGTCTCAGAGTATCATTACCATTTCTTACTTTTCTGGAGCTAAATCTTCCCTATTTTCTCTTTCAGGCAAATATCAATATCCCAATGGGAGCCTTTCGGCCGGGAGCTGGGCAACCTCCTAGAAGAAAAGAAAGTTCTCCGGAAACAGAGGAGGTGAGGAAAACTTGTCTTTTTCCTCCAAAATCCCGACTAGCGCGGGGCAGAGGCACGTTGGGGGCTGCTTTTCAAGGGCAATGGCGGGAAGGAAGTGAAGTAGGTCAATGAGTCATCACAAAGTGTATACATTCCTTTTTAAAAAAAATATATATTTTATTGATTTTTTACAGAGAGGAAGGGAGAGGGAGAGTTAGAAACATTTATCAGCTGCCTCCTGCACACACACACATCCCCCCCACTGGGGATGTGCCCGCAACCAACGTACATGCCCTTGTCTGGCATTGAACCTGGGACCTTTCAGTCCACAGGCCGACGCTCTATCCACTGAGCCAAACCGGTTTCAGCTATATACATTCCTTTGATGTCTTGCTCAATTAGCCTTGAAACACACTGGCCCTTGTTTCCCTTCAGCTAAATTTTAAAAAATATATATATTTAATTGATTTTTTACAGAGAGAAAGGGAGAGGGATAGTTAGAAACATCGATGAGAGAGAAACATCAATCAGCTGCCTCCTGCACACCCCCTACTGGGGATGTGCCCACAACCAAAGTACATGCCCTTGACTGGAATCAAACCTGGGACCTTTCAGTCCACAGGCCAACGCTCTATCCACTGAGCCAAACCGGTTTTGGCCCTTCAGCTGAATTTAAGTGCTTCGCACAGTTACTTGAAGATGATGAGTTTAACAGGAAGCCTGCTGATTGATTGTGTATGTTTGTGTGTGTGTGTGGTGGAGGTGGGGGGGGGGAGAGCACAGCCTCTCAGATGCTCTTGGTCCACAACAGTCACAAGCTTGGTAAGTTTTTATTCTGAGCTTTTACCAAACTAAACATGACGCATTTAGTACGGATTCTGATGAGTGATGAACCCAGTGGGAGCACAGATAATAAGCACATTACGTTTCTGGTGGATTCAAACAAAAAGCTCCAATTTCTGGGTATTTACTTTGACAAGAAGACTTTGCAGGGAGTCTATAAATTTCTGTATTTTTCCTCCAATTCTTTTGCTCTCCTCCCAATGCAAATACCTCATCTTCTAAATGGAGGCTAAAATTAATAATGAGTACAATAAATACAGAAAAGTTCCTTCCCCAAGTGTTGATATTTCATCCCCAATTGTGCTGAAGGTTTTGTTCTGAAAAACAAAACAAAACAAAAAAAAAAACAACAAAAAAAAAACAAACCCAAAAAACAAAACAAAACAAAACAAAACAAAAAACAAAAAAAAATCCCCCAAAACAAAACAAAAACCAATTAAGGTTTTGGAGCATGTCATTAGCACAAGACAAGAAAAATGTCATTAAATAAAGTTGTATAGCATATAAAACCGTATTTTCTCTTTTTAAAAAGGTGAAAAGGCTGTCTTAACTTTTATAGGAGACATTTTTGGTACCTGCCCCAAAAGAACACTTATCATCATTTCAAAGTTTCCTAATAAAACTGGTTGTCCCCCTTCTAATCTTCCGCCCCATAAATAATTCCTGACATAGTCCCGAATTAGCGGTTCCAGCCTCTAATCAATAGATAATTTTTGAAAGGAGGAGATGGAGTATTTGAGTAATATCACCAAGTTCTGGGATTTCAGCCATTAAATCACCTTTCATGAGTAAATATTTTAAACATGCAAGTTGAAAGGTCCCAACCTGACCTTTTCTTATGGTACATAATCTCTAGTTCTAATGCTGCTAACTTGGCCATCCAGTTAACTAATGATCATGAGCTCTCGCTCTCTCTCTCTCTCTCTCTCTCTCTCTCTCTCTCTCTCTCTCTCAGATTTTGGTCATGTATTTCTGAGTCTATGTCTGCAAAATAAGATCCACTCCATTCCTCATAGGGTCACTGTGAGGAAAGAGTTGGCAATATAACAGACATGGCATAGCCTGGCAGGTAGTCAATAGATAATTGTTCAATTGATCTGTGTATCTAACATTCACGAAGGACTCCTGGGTCTATTATTTTGCATGTTGTAAGAAAAAGGCATGGGGAGGTAGTAGGGTGGGCACTGTAATTCTTCCTACACCTCCATTTGCCTGTAATTAGATTTCCTTCCTGTGCTGCCTTTTAAGCTGTGTCTGTCACTACCATGGCAATCAGTTGGAAGACAGCTTGACCCTCTTTTCTCACTAAATTGTGACTGCTGTAAACAGTTCTTTTGGAGGCTTATATTTCAGTTTCCGTCTATGGTACAGATGGCCCTCTCCTCCAGGTGTCCCAGTTAGAGGATTGGGGGAGCACTGTGCTCTCACTCCTGCCTTGTCCCAATCTGATGGTTCCAGCACATTCTAAAATAGCCAAGAACTGATACAACCCGGTGGGTGAATGCTTTATGACCAGCCACGTATGCAAATGGCCAACCAATACTTTTCGCAGGATGGAGAGGACTAAGGTATCCACAGAGGTCCCAGAAGTTTCTTGAACTGGGCAACACCTTTCCCCCTGTGGCTCATCGATCAGGAGGGTGTAATTAGGCCTTGTTCTGTCTTATTGTAAGAGCAAAAATGGTTTCTCAAGATTTGGGGGGTCTTAGGGAAGCGTGGGATCTAATGGCTCACGTTCTGGGCTGGATCTTAGAGTACTCTGCCTCTCATATCTCTTTTGACTGAAATCCCCTCATTTTTAAGCCACAAATTAGTATGCTGGGATTTTCTGTTTATTATTTCCCTCTCCATCTGGTTCCTTTACAAGATGAAAACACTATGTGATTCTGGTCCCACCACATCCTAGCTGTGTGACCAGTGTACCTCAGTTTCCTCAAAAACAATAGCAGCATATTTATAGGTTGATGTAAAGATTAAATATGTTAGTATGTGTAACTTATTTCAGCCATTCCTGAAACGAAATGGTCTGGGGCTGATAAGCCTCTCTCTAGCTATTTTTAGCTAAATCAAATAATGTCTTCCATATCCCTTTTCAATTCAAATGTCTACTTGCAAAAAAAAGTACTTATTAGTCCAATGGAGCCAACTGGAGTCCTGTTTGTTCATGCCTTAATTTATTACAATTCTTAACAAATTCAGATTGCCATTATTTTTGAAAGATTTAAGAAGATTCAGTTAAGAATCTTCACCACCACTAACCCCCTTCCTGAGTTAATATAATATCTACTTATTAAATATATCCACTTTACATATCTCCATTACACATGCCCTTACCAAATCAAGTACTAAAAATCTCAACTTGATAAATAAAAAGCACAGTGCACTGAGGTTTTAATAACTTGAGAGGAAAGTGACTACTATTAAATATTATCATCCTATCTCTGTGTATATCACATAATAAACTTGTACAGAGACACATAACTACACACAGTGGCTTTGGGTGTCAAATGTGTCAATACAGCACATTTTGATATTACAAAGCCAGTGAATTACCTGAGAATTTAACAGAAGGAATAAAAATATTTTTCTTCTTCATGCTTCTTTTTAAAAAAATATATTTTTATTAATTTTGTACAGAGAGGAAGGAAGAGAGATAGAGAGTTTGAAACATTGATGAGAGAGAAACATCGATCCGCTGTCTCCTGCACATCCCCTACTGGGGATGTGCCTGCAACCAAGGTACATGCCCTTGACCGGAATCGAACCTGGGACCCCTGAGTCTTCAGGCTGATACTATCCACTGAGCCAAACCGGTTAGGGCCTTCCTGCTTCTTTATTAAGACCTACCCACCTAACAATCATGGGAACATTTATAAGTAAGGAAATGTTGTTTATTTCACTGCTACAGATATTTAAAAAAAACTCCAAACACTTTATAGCTTTGTTTAAAATTTCTTTCCAAAAGCCTAGCAAAGAACATTCTAGAATACCTGGTCCTCCAAATGCAGGCTTCGTGATGTCCATTATTGCTTCTAAACCTGCATTTATAAATGATGAATGTATGTGCACACAAGGAAGCCAATCCTATGGCTCCATACACCGATCTGGGGAAACATTTTCCAGATATTTACAGCAGCCAGGCCACACTGAATTACTTTATCAACTTGTGTGGCTGACAGGTTAGCTATAATAGTTCGTTAGCACCGTGCCAGCGTCAAAGGAAATGACTAGGAAAAGCAATTAGCGCTCCCCAGAAAAACAGCACCTCGCTATTTTAGATCTCTACTTACCCACTCAAGTAAACAACTTAAAAATGTCATGTCAAACGACATGTCAGCCAAGTAATTGGTTAGAGTTTGGGAAGGTTGAACACTTTCTTCCCCTTTCCTTTAGGGTTTTTGAGAACAATTTGAGAACTAGATGTAGGAGCCAGAAGGGAGGAACAGCATCAGCCTTAAGCTGTTAACTGGGGAGTTCCCTTTTTAATTATGCAACGTACAACGGGCGCATATCTTTCACTAGGACGTGTCAGTATGTCACGCCCAGTGGACGTAATTTTATATTATTATTATTTTTATTTATACTTAATTAAAATAAATGAAATATATATTTTTTCATTTATTTATATATAAAGCGCAAAGGAAAATACAAAATTACAAACAAATAGAAAAGAATACCAACCAAAAAATGGAAACATTGAATTAAAAAATTATACATTTTACAAACAATTATAAAGATTACAAAAAATATATACCGTCCCTCTCAGGGTGCAACATATATTTCAAGGATGTATTCATACGTCCTACCCGTTCCCAATATTGTTTACGTTTGACGTATTTATAGGTCCCGCTCGGTGAACAGGTTAAGACTCAAGTTTCAGGGATGCCTAGTTAGGCTGGCAACAAGCTTGTGGATTCTTATTACTTTCCCCCAGAACCGGATTGGTTCACTCAGTGGTTGGGCGAGCAGCTGGAGCTCTGCCAGCCTCACACTGGGATGGTTAGCTTGGGCCTTCCGAGAAGCAGACCCAAAGATGGGATGAGCCGGGCAAAATATTTCCCGGAGAAAATGCTTGTAAGGAAAACTGGAGGGTTTTAAAATATACTTTATTGATTTTCTACAGAGAGGAAGAGAGAGGGATAGAGAGTTAGAAACATCAATGCGAGAGAATAATCGATCAGCTGCCTCTTGCACACTCCCCACTGGGGATGTGCCCGCAACCAAGGTACATGCCCTTGACCGGAATCGAACCTAGGACCTTTCAGTCCACAGACCAACGCTCTATCCACTGAGCCAAACCGGTTTCAGCATGGCAGAAGCATCTTAGACCTCAGTGCTGTTCTAAGGACATTTCTTGAGCCGGAGTCCCTTCCAGAGGAGGTGAAGTCTCCCAGAAACCGCCACTTTAGGGCCCTGTGGCGCACAGTCATTGGCCAAGAGCTGCCATGGGAAGCATGACCTCAGTGTGCTGATGCCGTGTTTCAGGACAAAGCAGCTGGGCAGTCTTTCAGTTCCCCTCCCTGCAGGAAACTGATCCGAGAGGCCTGGCTGCCACGGTGATCAAATGTTCCTCCAGCACCTTCCTTCAAGGGCTGCAGAGAAAATGCCCCTGACCTGTAGCTAACTGGAGGAATGAGCGAACAAGTAACTTCTGTAGTAACGAGTTGGAGTTCAAGGAGCCACACACAGCAACTGATTTATTGTTTTATGTCACTGTTCATATGTGTGTTTGGGGTACACACATACAGGCATAGGTTTGCCACTGTGGTATATTTTCAGGGTTAATCAGCTAACTAACAATCACCAAGTATGCGTGTGCACTTCTGTACCAAGTGTTGGAGGACCCACACGGAAATATAGAATGTGGTTCTGACGTGCAGTTGTAACAAAATAAAAACATACTATGGTAGGAAATGTAAAATAGTTTCTGAAGCAGGAAGGGAGAGCCGGGCCTCCTCTTTTGCTCTATCTTAGCCCACTCATATTCAAAGAGGTTTTGCTTACATCAGTTTCAGTTTGTTTATGCTTTGCAGAGATTCACTGGAAACAAGGCTGGCAGCCAATCAAAACATTTTGAAAACTCCTAGACTAAGTCATTGCTAGAGCCAACTGTGCACTAACATTTTGCACATCTCTGCTGTTCAGGCATATTATAATCACACTACAGACTTGTGCACCAGTGGGGTCCTTTGGCCTGGCCTACGGGAATTTGGCCAAAACCAGCTCTCGGACATCCCCTGAGGGGTCCCAGATTGCAAGAGGGTGGTTCTCAGGTGACGCTCCCCAGAATCGGGCTCCCTCTTCTCTGGTTCTGGGTATGTCACCCGAGAACTGCAGCTACCAAGTTACAGCAGCTTGGTGGCTCCTGTGTTGAGTGTCTGCCCCCTGGTGGTCAGTGTGCATCATAGCTAATGATTGGAGCGTCTGCCCCTTGTGGTCATTATGTGTCATAGCTACCGGCCAGTCAGCCAGTCACTTAGGCTTTTATATACACGGAATGGCCAGATTATTATGATCTCTGAACATAAAATAATCTGGCCACTCAATATATATATATATATATATATATATATATATATATATATATATATATATATATATATATATATATATATATCAGAGGCCTGGTGCATGAGTTTGTGCATGGGTTGGGTCTGGCCAGCCTGGCCAGGGTAAGGGGACATGGGCAGTTGGCCGGCCTGCCTGCTGGTCGAACTCCTAGTCAAGGTGACAATTTGCATATTAGCCTTTAATTATATAGGATATATACTGAGTGACCAGATTATTATGCATTCAGAGATCATAATAATCTGGCCACTCAGTGTGTATATAGATGATACCAGATTTAATTTGATCTTACGAGATGCTTGCCTTGGAAAGATGAATATTTCCAACTAGTGCTCATTCTTATTAATAAGCAGACACTAAACAGTACTCTAGTTTTTCTAAGTCACGTGGAAATTACTTGTTTCTTCTTCCAACTTTATTCCACATTCCTCTACAAACTTCAGGAGATTTTCTTGAAACTTTGAGGATGTCTCAGCAGCACAAGACAAAGTCAATCTGCTAGAATTACACTCTGACATTATTCTTGCTTTAATTTTTTTCATTCCAGAGAGACCAAATATATTTTTCAGTAAGCTGAATCTCTTTTTTTGCTTTTCTTCCTCTTCAGAGTGCTCCCCACACCTCGGATGAGGAAAAGAAGCCAATTCCAGGAGCAAAGAAACTTCCAGGACCTGCAGTCAACCTATCGGAGATCCAGAACATTAAAAGTGAACTGAAATATGTCCCCAAAGCTGAACAGTAGTTGGAGGAAAAAGGTAAGTGGAAAGCTATTTCCTTTGTCTAAAAAAACATCACTATACAATGGTTTAGGGAAACCTTCCACAGAAGGAGTCTGAAATTCCAGAAGAATTTAAGTATCTGAGACCAGTACTTCTGGTGCAAAGCTTTTCTGGCATGTAAAGCTGAGCTTTTTGGGTCTTACTCTGTAACCAGTCAGAGAACCATTGAGGATGTTTGCCTGCCATCTCCTCTCTGGTCAACTTCTTAGTTGGGGAAAGATAGGGTTGGGAGGGGAAAGATGCTGAGGAGGAAGTCTTGAAGAGCTTTTGATCTTGGGGTCCCGGGGTTCTTCCCTTATTTCATGTCTCAGTTTCCTCACCTAGATGCCACTAAAAGCAATGAGCTATTTCTGAGTAGAAGATCAGAGGAGCAAGGAGCTGAGGAGGTTTAGAAATGTTGAGTGTAGAGATCAGGCATTCAGGCCTTGAAACCAGTAACCCTTATGTGTATAAGGCAGACCAAGCAGACCTGGTAATGATTCTGGACGTGGATAAGGGAAGGATAAACTCAAAACTAGGTCTGCTGCCCAGTGAGGCACTGTAAGCAGGGCCTGCGACTTTATTTTCATTTTATCTGGAACCAGTCAGTATCGATCTCCTAGTGAGGATTCAACCTCATCCTCCACTTGCAGACCTGATACCTGCAGACTGGTTTGGGAATTCTGCCAGCAGGGGGCATGTGGAATTGGCCCAGGTCATTGCTCTTTCTCCTATGAGACAATGACAGCAAATCTTACTTTATCCAACATTATTGGATCCCATCATGCACAAGAAGTTTAAGTTTGGAGGAGAGGAATATATACTGGGCATATAAAACAGGTATTTACCTGGCTGATTATTCATTCATTCATTGGTTTGTTCATCCACTCACTAATTCAACCAATATTTACTGATCATCTACTATGTGCTGAACAAAAGAAACATTTATTAATCGTTTACCATATGCCAGATACTATGTAAAGAACATTGTATCCATTGTTTATTAAGCTTCATGATCCCAGTTTATTACTCCCATTCTTGAGATGAGTCTTGAGATGATATTGATTTTCACCATCTATCATGCATCCTAAAAAGGGGGTCTGATTTCAAAGTTAGTGATGCACCTACTTGTTATACTGTGTACCCCTTCCCTCCCACTGCACCTTACAGGACACTACACTCCCTGTGGGTATTAGGGTGACATATTCTGACCATGTGGATGGTGAAAGCAAGCATAGCAATGGGGCCCTATTATGTCTTCTCCTGAAGACACAATGAAGAACAGACTATTCTATGGGACAACCCCATAAATAATGGCAATGTTATCTGTGCCATGCTTACACAGACTTACTAGGCTATTGAAAGTTAGTTCTACTGAAAGGATTTCTTTACAGTGTAGAGAAAGAGAGGAGCCATTTTGAGTTAAATTAAGAAAACAGTATCTAATATTTTCAACAGAGCTGCATAAAAGAATAAAGGGTAAGAATAAAACACAGTGGATTTCATGACCATGAAATTAACCCCAGGAAAAGGACAAAGGGACATCAGTAGGAAAGGACCTGAAGCATGGCTATACACACTTGTACTTATTTATGACAAAATGCAATCAATTGATGACTTAGTATTATACTCAGTCCTGCTTATTGCCAAGCTGAGCTGAAATATTCCAATATGCTTGAGGTGAAGCTGCAGAACTTTCTTCTGAGAAAGCCTGGAGAAGGGAAATTAATTTTTTGTGATATTTATTATCATCACCCAACCAAGGCTGTTCAGCTAGACACATGAATTTTTAATGCAAACTTTAAAGGATTTTGCTTTTATGAAATCCATGTTGACCTAAATTTAACTCAAGTTCTAGTTTCAGAAGAACTTGGTTTTAAAGATTCTAAGGAATGCTGTTTTAAAATTAGCTCCAAGATGATCTTGTAGTGTTACCCAGTGGTGAGGTTGATTTCATAGCCTTGGATCTATGATTACAGTAACAGGGAATAATATCAACTCAATGAAATATCAAAAATGTACCAGAGTTACCAGAAACAATTTTTTATTACTAGGCTTTCTCAGAGGAACTTAATGATTCTTTTCTCTTGAACAGATTCTAATAATGTAAAAACTCTGAGAGAGGCCAATTTGTTTTTATTCTACAGGAATATGAAAACCTAAATTGTCAAGGTAATTGATATGAATGCAAAATGAGTACAGCATTGTTTTAAGCCAAGGAATTATTTTTATTTCTTGTAGGAGAAGTTTTAAGGTGGTTTGACTTTGACTCATCAATTCTTTTCCAGCAAATAAGTCAGATTTTAATTCTTCCATGGTCATGGTTTGTGGTCAGAAAGGGAGAGGATTTCTTAACATTGATTGATTCAATGGGCTCATAAGCAATGTATACCCTGAACCAAACATCATTTAGCCCTTCACTGGTTAGATTATTTCCCCCTCCTTGGGCCACCACTTTGTCACTTATCTTCACCATGTATTGTTCAATTATTTGATCCAACAGACTATTCATTGTTTGAAGACTGAGTGAACAACTCCACAGTGCCAAACACTATAAAAACCACAAGACTCAAAGTCCAGATTATAACTATTATAGTACTGTAGACATGTAAGATTGAGCAGCATCTCCTTCCAGGGAGAAATAGTTCAAAAATAGTAGCAGGAGACTTCAGTATCCCACTTTCAACAGTGGATAGAACAACTACACAGAAGATCAACAAGGACATTTTCTTAGTCAGTTAGAGAATACCTTTTCCTGGGTACCTTATAAAGAACAGAAATTTATTTCTCACAGTTTAAGAGGCTGGGAAGTCCAAGATCAAGGCTCTGGCAGATTCAGTATCTGGTGAAAACCTGCTTCCTAGTTCATAGATGGCTACTTTCTCATTGTGTCCTCACATGCTGGAAGGGGCAAAGGAGCTTTCTGGGGTCTCATTTATAAAGATACCTCATGACCTAAACAACTCCTGAAGGCCCCAACTCCAAGTACCATCCCATTGGGGGTTAGGTTTCAAGATATGAATTTTGGGGTGGGGGAATGAACATTCAAATCAGAAGAGTTGATCAACTATCCAACAGTGAAGTAAACATTCTTCTCAAGTGCACACGGCACATTGTCCAGGACAGGCCATATGTTAGGCAATAATGCAAGTCTCAATAAATTTAAAAGGATTGAAATAATGTAAAGTATGTTCTTGGACTACAATGGAATAAAATTACAAGTCAATAGCAGAAGGAAGTTTGAGAAATTCACAAGTTTTGGAATTTAACATACTCCTGGGTAACCAATTAGTCAGAGAAAAAAAATCACAAAGGTATTAGAAAATACTTTGAGATAAAAGTAAATGAAAATACAACATACCAAAATTTGTGGGATGCAGCAAAAGCAGTAGTTAGAGGCAAATTTATAGTTTTTAAAAATATATATACTTTATTGATTTTTTACAGAAAGGGAGAAGGATAGAGAGCTAGAAACATTGATGAGAGAGAAACATCGATCAGCCGCCTCCTGCACACTCCCCACTGGGCATGTGCCCACAACCAAAACACATGCCCCTGACCGGAATCAAACCCCGGGCCCCTGAGTCCACAGGCCAATGCTCTGGCTACTGAGCCAAACCGGTCAGAGCCAAATGCCTTTTCTGAAAAATCTCAAATCAATAACCAATAACCAATCAATCAAATTAATATGAGCAACTCCATATTGGGAAAACATGCCTTTGATCATCCTGATCATCCTACCCATATCTATATAAATGGCAGATGACTAAACTGATATATGAATAAAAATATCATCCCTTTCAAATGGTAGAATATAATAAGTTTAAAAATATACTCATATAAACATTATATCAGTATATAAGAAGATAGGAAATTAAGTAATCACCCATAAGATCACAATTTTAGCATAATACTTCGATAGCTTCTCTCTAGTCTTTTCCTTTGGGTTTATATATGGGATGCAATAAAACAAAATTGCTAACAATATGGTATTTGGGATCATTACCTTGTATCTTTGTAATATTCAGCTCTACATCTCTATTTCCTCGTTTCACTGAAAGCAAAAAACAACATTTCCCTCATAGGGTACTGGTGAAAGATTAGGAAGATGTGTTTTAAAAATTATATCCAGGCACAGCTCCTGGGATGGGGTAAATTTAGATACTCAGTAAATGGGAATTGGTTCTCCTTTTACTTTTTTCTTACATAGCTTCATTCATAGCACTTAATGGTTTCCTATCTTTTCCACTTTCCATTTGCTATAGCAGCATTTTTTATGTGGCTTTGCAGCCTTCAGAGTGAAGATGATTTATTCTCTTAGGCTCTGACTTCTCATGATTTCATAACCGTTTCCTTCTGCCAGAAGACAGAGGACATATTTCTTGTTTTCCATAGAGCTACACCTAAAACCCCCCACAAACCTCTGACGTCTCCAAATGTCTTCACTGTGGTTTGCTGGAAATTATTTTGTCCTCAATTTTGAAATATTCCCAGTTTTGACCCAATTACAGAAGCTCTATTCACTTTCTCCAAAGGAAATGTTTTTATGCTGAGATTTTTTTTCACTCTCGAATGAAGTAAAAATTCATTTGATTTATGGTGCTCCTTTTTTTTTTCTTTCCTTCTGCTCCCCACTTAGAATAAAGATGGGTTCTGTAGTGGTTCTGAACTGCATCAAGGTTTTCATTCATTTTCCTGCCTGGCAAGTTGTTGTTCTATGCCCTGGTTACAGCGTGTGTGGGCATACAGTACTCTTGAGGGTGATGGCAAGGAGCCTTTAGGCTGATTTTGGTAGTTGTTTTAAGAGTCTATCCACAGAAAAACACACAAAAGCTATCTGGATGGTTTGGGCAGGGGGTTGGAATTGGTGGGAGAGTTTCCAGGAAGTACACAGGAGACCAGAGAAGTACTTCTGCTCCAGCCAGCCTGGTAGAAGGCTGAGGTGACTCAGGGTCCAATTCTGTAGAACCTCATACACTGGCAC